TCTTTGAAGCTGTTCTCTGGATTTGTTTAGAGACCCAACAATCCTCCCAGTAACAAATCCTCCCAGTAGCAAATCCTCCCAGTAGCAAAGTGTTACTCTGTTCTGCATCCTGTGCTGCTCTTGTAGGGACATGAGGTTTCCTTTGCTTTGCAAAAACGAGTCTCAGCTTTTGAGATACCTTCTGAAAATACTAAGTTCAATTAGTTATTCATCCACAGAAAAAATAGCAAGAGGTGTTACTGTCCATAATGTTTAGATTCTCAAATTCTATAGATGAGGAAATGAAACCAGCCATTTCAGTAGAAGCTGTGAGCTTCTACTTTAAGACAATCTTGGTTAAATAATTGAATTTTCTTTATATGTTGGTGGAATATAAATGGTAGGTGTTTCCTGGTTTGGAGAAAGAAAATTCTGACTTGTGCTTTAACCACCAGAATAACTCTGCTCCCCAGATATGTGCTTACCTGCTAATACACACGTGCAGAGATGAGATACTACTGATACCCCAGAGAATTTAGACATTTGTCCTTGCATCTGACACTCTAATTTTTTGAAAGTTGTCTGTCTAAATTTTGTTTGGTGCAACTATCAAGGAGGAAGTATCTTCATTCCAGTCAATACTGGGCTGCGTCTTATTGTGGTATATTTTTAAATTTTGTTTTAACATATTTTCAAGTTCTGTATCTTTTAACTATAGCACTGAACAGCAAGTTGCTGACAAACTTTTTTAAAGTATGAAATGTCATTTGTTTTTCTTTTTTCCCTGAGCTTACCATGTTCTGTTCCTTAGAATGTTTTCTCTTTCTGTGATTCCTTTTCAGCTGCTGCACATAAAGTGTGATAATGATGAACATATATTTCAAAGACCCTCTACTTTTTTCTGGTGTAACAATGAGGATTCACCTCCTTGTTTAGATATCTCTTCCATTACGCTTACTCCTAGGAGTTCTCCTGACTCCAGACTACCATCTGGATTGTTAATACCACCACCTACAAAAAGTGGTTTTCCAAAGCCAACCAGTGAATACAGCTGCCCGAGACCTCGTGTAATCCTGCTGTGCAAAAGCTTTTTCAGTTTTTTTTTTTTTGCTTTCCTGTGTTCTCTATTGTGTATTAACTTGTATTAAAAATGTGCATTTTGTACAGTGATTAAAGGACAGACCAGATGTGTCTTCAGATTATTAGGGATACTCTTAAAATATAGAATTTGGTCTTATTTCTACATAGCCTTTTCTCTCCCACTCCCAAAACATAAGTTCCCAACATGTTTAAATTAGTTCATTACTTCATTACCTCTGTCTTCTCTTTAAATATTTTGTTGAAGTTCTTTATACTAAGAAGAGTTAACTGTTCTAAAGGTCTAGCTTCAAGGGCACCCACCCCACCCACCATGAATCAGTAGAAAAGCAATCAGACATTAAATACATTTTAGCATACTTTATAAAAACTGTGCAAAATGAAGTTTGCAAATTATTCTTAAATACTAAGTGGGCATATTTCCTGCTTTTTCATAGCAATGTGCTTATACTCTCAGCTTCCATTTGCAAGTAACATTTGGCTGTATTTGACAACCATTGTGGCTTTCTGCATGTGTTCACTAAATGAAAATGCTTCTTGTGCTTGTATGTATTTAAAAGAATTTCCTAAAATAACTAGTTTTTATTAACCCAGTTGTTAAGGGCCAGTATTCAAAGGGCCAATAGCTTCTACAGAATGGCACCTAGACAGGACATGGTAGTGTAAAGTTTGTTTGCTTTTTTTCCTAAAAGAGTAATTTTAGACCAAACATAAATACTGGTTGTTTATTTATCTAGTTTCCAGGTAACCATAAACACTTAGCAAATATGGAGAATCTACATTAGCATTTACTGTCTCCCTAGACATCTGTCAATGCTTATGGGAAATGGAGGTTAATATACAGCAGGGGCCTGTGCTTGAAGCCTGATCCCACCTTCCTGATGCAGGCAAAACTGATCTACACTCAGCATTTTTTGTTTATATGAAGAACAGGATACAAGATTCATTGCATGTTTACTGGGGGTCAAGCACATCCATTGCTCTGCTTTGAGTGGGAGCAGATGACATCCAGTGATCTCCCCAGCTTTAATTATATTGGTTCTCTGGCTATCCACAAAGGCACCAGAAGGTTAATGCAAGGTCCGTGAGCATAGTAATAACAGCCTGTTGAGTCTAAACAGTATGTACTGACATGTTCCCACAACAGATGTTACTTGAAATTGCAATGCTAACTCATGTTGAGATCAGAGTTCTGTTTCAGTAAAAAAAACCTTAAAAATTAGTTATTTTATTAAGTTAATTCATCTGTGGTCTTGCCAGGGACTATCATGACTGAGAATAGAACAACAACAAAAAGATAATGTTAATTGTGTTAACTGTGGATTTATTTTTTTCCTTTATGTGCTTCAGTATACCTAGGTAGAAATATCCAAGGTTTTTGGAGACATTGGATTCCTATAGATCTCCTATAGAACTGTAGATCACTTGTAAACCAAATTTAAAATGTGAACTCAAAACTTGCAAGAAATAGGAAATGTAGAACCTCAGAGTCTAGTTTTCTCTTTAAGCAGTGTGTTCAGTGGAAGCCTGTGGATCAATATCCTTTTCTGCAGCCTCCAGAGAGAATTTGAGGTGGTTCAGGACTACTTATAGACTTGGCATAGAAATCTGCAGCATGTGCTGTCAGAGGGCAGCTCTGGTTGGTCCATCAGAGTCCCTGAAGAAAGAAGCATTCCAAAATAAGGTTTAGATCCTTTAAATGCTCAGGGACCAGCAGTGCTAAAGACTATCCCTTGGCCGGGTGGTTATATTAATGTATTCTGAATTAAAGGATCCATGTGACTAATTTATCTTGTGCTTTAAAATTTTCATGCGAATATGTCAGATTGAATCTTGTTTAAAAGTACTAGGCTTTCCCTGTGCCTGGCTGTGGATGGTCTTTATAATGGAGAGAATGTAGGGGTTTGGTATTGTCTAATAACATTAACATGCTAACTAGTTTTGCATGTATATTTCAGCTTTCCAATCTAAGACTTAATCTATTTCATTAAATGTCTTTAGTGTTCAGTTTACTCTGACTTGACTGTGCCTCCTGTTTGTCCTGAAATAATGGACTGATGGCAGGAGGAATTATTAAAAAAAGAAAAGGCTATAGAATGATAGTAATTGTCAAGTTTGAGGTTTCTTTGCTCGTAATTTTTTTGAATGATTTCAAGTTCCTGGGCCTTACTGAGAAAATTTCTTCTGTTTCACATTCAAGGAGGAGAGTTTTACTTTGGATATTAATACTCAATTAATTGCCTGTTTAGTTCATTCCTTACAAAGGAATACATTTGAAAATTTTATCACATCAGGTTTTTAGTTTGTCAGATAAGTGATCATGTAAGGAAGAACTAGTAAACAAGAAATATCGGAATAGTATCTTTTAATTTTAGCTACTTGTTCTTTTTACTTGGAAGGGTAGCACATTGTTGTTGCAGTATGAGCTTAAGTCGATCTTCTGAACTTACCTGTCTTCATTTGTCTGCAATATAGAACTGCTTGTCATCAGCTTTTTCAGGTTTAACTGTACCAGATGATCTATAAATGGAAAAATTACAATGCTGCTTATGTGTGGGAGAGTATTAGCATGTCTCAGATTCTGAACTGCAAATACCATTTGCTTGGTGTCAGAAGATGTTTTTTGCATGCTGATGGTTATTTTTACTGGTTTTGAAACTGTGGCTCTTATCTGCATGCTGAAGAATTCAGTATTGTGACCTTTTTCATGTGAAATATTGCCCTAATATTTATTGTCCTTATTGTAGGCAGGCAGTGTGACACCTAAATCACCCTCCACTGACATCTTTGATATGGTTCCCTTTTCTCCCATATCCCCTCAGTCATCAACACCTACTCGCAATGGTACACAGCCTCCTCCAGTACCCAGTAGATCTACAGAGATCAGTAAGTTTTTTAACAACTGACCTAATTTTTGCTTACATTACTTTTTTTAGTAAAGCATCTTCAAAGATTTGTGTACATTGTGCATGAAAAGCCAGATGCAGTTTTTGTAAATTACATTCGATAATACCATTTCATTTTTATACCATCTTCCCAAAGTCATTTATGTTGCTGCCAACTTATATTATAAACAAGTTTATTTACTTTCTGAAGCTATTATATGAACAGTTGAAAGGATTTTGGTTGGGGATTTTAACTTGGCTTTTCTTTTACAGTATCTCTTTTGTACATACTTCAAGAAATATTTTTACTTCCTGTTAGTTCTTTGTCAAGCGACAGTTGTAAAATCCAAAGCTGGCATTTCTGGGGAAGAGAGCAGGTGGAGTAAGTATAGTGATTGCAATACAGAAGGGAGAGCTGAAGAAGTACCTAAAAATGTAGACTGTCTTGTAATACTGTTTTTAGTACTACTTTTCACATGGTCTACAGCTTTGTTTTTCATTTATAATTGATGAATCTCTCCAGATCTTTGGACTACTCCTAAGATATTCACAAAATTATGAACACTCACAATTTTGTTTTCCAAAGGCTTGAAAGCAGCTAGGATAAGGTTCCTGGCTTTGCTGGAAATCTTTTGGGAGTCCTTAAAGTACTTTTTCAAGTCTTTGGAAATCCCTTGAGGTAAAGGAGAGTATACAGAAGCAACATTAGACATTGTAGAGGTGTCAGTCTCTGTTTAGTATCTTCTATTTCTTCGGCCTGTTTTAGTATGGGTAAGGAACATTAATGTTGCTGACAACTTATAAAATCACCGTTGAAGAGCTTCTTCTGTTTTTGGGGAATGCTGCTAATATATAGAATTTTCAGTTATGAATGAGAGCTGTGCACAATTATAAAAAGGCATTGTAAAACTTCAGGTAGTATCTTCTCCAGTACCATACCACCTTTCATTCCCATTGCTCAGAATAGCTGTTAGCCTTTAAAGGGAAAGTAGATGTTGAGGGTACTGGTAAAATTAAAAAATCTCTTAAGATTTTTTAATTCATTTAGATTAATTTCTGTGAGTTTTCACAAAGGCAATATTAACAGAATTTAAAACTATTAAGAATAGTCAATATTCACTATTCTTAAGTCACTTAAAGGAATATTAGAATAATCTAATAGAAAATTAGAATAGAACTGTTCTATAAGGAGAATTTGTATGGCTTTATAAAGAACAACAAAAAATAATTCAAAGGCACCACTCCAAGAACTCCTTTTGTGTTTTCAAATTAATTCATCTGAAACTACAGACAATGCCATCAAATCCTTCTCAATGTGCATATCCAGCTAGTAACCTTGTGGGATTCCCCACTCAGTGCTGAGTGGTCTAGAGAATTCCAGCTATGGAGGTTTTGTAATATAGAAAATATTATAAATAAGTTGATGCTTCAGTCATACATGGTGTTTGAAACATATGCACTTGATTCATTTTTATTACATTAAGATGGTGTAGTTCAGAGATGTGGCAGTCAGTGTCTGTCAGTTCTCTGCTGCTTAGTGTGCCATGCTTCAGAGGAAGATTGCAGAAGTACATCACTGTCTTTATGGTTTGATCCCTGCTCTTTCAGTCTACATCACAGTACTTGGTATGTTGAAAATTGCTGCATTCATCAGCTGTTGACACGCTTTGGCATATTTCAAAAACGTTGTTTGAAAGAGGAGTATTTTATAATCAAACAAGGACTTATTGTCTTAGATGAGAAAGTGCAGCTCCCATAAGTATCTCATGCAGGCTGTGTAACACTGTGTTTCTATAAAAAATGTACAATAATACGTTGTATATGGTTTTATTGCCATCAGTACAAGGAAGCTGGCATTTCTTTCTCCAATGCAAGTTAGATGCAACCAAGAGGAGCCAAAGTTTGGTGTCTGCCATTTTCCTGAGGTCTTCTTAACATCTTTTCACGTCCTTATCTCTACTTTGTCACTACACTTTAACATTTTTTTTCCCATCACTTTTAATTAAATGATGACATTATTTTCTTGGGTTTTATCATTTTTATAACTTCTGCCTTTATCACACTCAGTGGTAAACAAGGTGCAAGATAAGGAATCATCATCTATTTGTGAGTGTCAACCTCAGTTGCTCCATTCCTCTGAGGTTCCTCTGCCTGTTTCCTAGGGATGGCATTTGGTCTGCTCAAGCAAAAGGAGATTTTCAAAGGCAAAGTTCATCTTATTTATTGGCCAATTTAACAAGTCAACCAACACTGCAGAGGAAAGACAAGTCCTGTTTGCAGGAAACCAGTAAGAATACCAAATACTTGGGATTCCTCCAATACCAAGTATAATTCGTAGTATAATTGGCACCAAGCTGACAG